GAGATGCACTCAAAGGTGGTAACTCTTTAAAAAATATCGATACCTTCTCTAACACATATTATAATTCTATAATGGACTTTTACCAAGTTATCAGTCATTACTTTCTAGTATGGTTGAAGAGAACAATTTAAGTCAAAGCCACAGGGGTGCCTGGGTGGCTCAGTCAGTTAAGCGTCTGCCTTCGGCTCAGGTCATGGTCTCAGGGTCCTGGGATCAAGCGCTGCATCGGGCTCCCTGCTCATCAGGGAGCCTGCTTCTATTTCTCCCTCTGCCTGCCTGTCTGCCTACTTGTGATCTCTCTCTCTGTCAAATAAATATATGAAATCTTAAAAAAATAAATAAATAAAAATAATTAATTCAGTGAAGGCCACAAACCAAAGAAAATACCCCTCCCTACAAAAAAAAAAAAAAAAAAAAAAGCTGTCTTCTGAGGAGGTAGTTTTGATCAGAGCAGATAGTAATTTGAGAAGTGGTGCATCTCTCAAAATAAAATACTTTATTCAGATTAAAGCAACACTGTGACCTTTGTAAGAAAAAATGACATGCTGGCTCTCATAAAGAAAAGAATGTCCTGTTTATAGTTCAAATCTCTTAGTACTTCATGGAGTAGTATGAGTGAGGCAAACTGGCCCCAGTGATAAAATGTGAGGCTATGAATCTTAATGATACTTTAAAGCTGTGTGATCATGTGTGAGTTCTTTAAGATTTCTATTAGGTTAAAATTAAATATTAATAATGCTTACCTCTTGTTTTTTTTCATTTTTATTAAACAAGTTAAATGGGTTAAATGAATTTATATGTATAAAGCAATTAAATCAGAGTATTGTTCATAGCAAATATGTAGTAAGTTTTAACTATTGATGATGATGATGTAGAAGATAGAAAACTACGTTGGAAATTAAGGAACATGAGCTGTATGGCAGCTTCTTAGCTCACTTCTTACAAAAACCATTCAACTTCCTTGAGTCTTGGCTTCACTAACTGTGAAGCAAAGGAGCTGCGTGATGTGATAATGTAGGTTCCTTCTTGTTTTAACTCTTTGATGATATATGCATGCTTGAGTTTTATGCAGTGTTGGCTTTGAACAAAAACTGTAATATAGGTAGTGTGATTTTAGAATCCTCACCATCTATTTTCTGTAGTTTCCTGCTCTCAGAAGTGACTATACCAAAGCCTGCCTGGTACTTTGTGCCATCAGCAGAAGTTCTGAGGAACAAGTATCTAAACATGTTCTGAAAGCATTTTGGGTGTATCACAGATTCATTTTGCTTACGAGAAAGTTTCCCTGGCAATGATAAGTAAGCAGGAAAGTGCTAATGTTAAATCCCACCTTATAAGTAACAGTCAGCTTTCAATATATTATGCTGTGGTAATAAATGACTCTCTAATATCAACAACTTACAACAACAATGATTTAATTTCTTATTCATGTTAACATGCCAGCTGATGCTATTTATAGTCAGCTGAAATTAGTGAGAGTTGTCTGCATCTCTGCTTTATATGTCTTCTCATTCTAGCACCCAGGATGAAGCAACTGCATTTATATGAATCGTTACATTCTCCAGGCAAAGGTTAAGAGCAAGAGAACTGGCAAGCACATGCAAGGATTCTTAAGGCTTCTGATCAACCATGGTTTTGTGTCCACCAACGTGCCACTTACTAAATTGGTTCACAAGGCCAAGTTCAAAAGCACTGAGTAGTGATATAGAACAGGAAGATGGAGTGAATAACTGGGAGCAATAATAAAGTCTGTCACAGTTTTCAAAAGACCTTCTCCAGTCCCTGAGGTTGTTAAAAATCCAAATTCTTTTAAATGTCATCAATGCAAATATTCCTTCTCCACAAAGTCTTCTTTAATTTCTCTAGTCAGTAGTTCACTGATCACTTCATTTGTATTCCTATAGCATCTTATACATCTCTCTGATGATACATATCACAGTGTGTTATAATTAGAAGAATTGAAAAAAAAAAAAAAGAATTGTTATGCTGGTACTGTTAAGCAAAAGTAGTTCTAGGGAAGAGTCCTAATTTATAATGTTTGTCAATTCCCATGGTGTAAATACTCTACCAGGCCTGATTTCAAATGGCCAGCATGGTAATCACGAAGCATGGAATTGGGAAAAGATGTACAGTAACACAACATTATGTAAGATTTCCAGCAGGAAATATAGAAATAATAGATGTAAGTAACCTCAAATGCATAGATAATAGTAAAAAATAGCAAAATGATAGTGATGAGTTTTTAATATTATCTGTATTTTAATATAATTATACATTTATATAATTTTTTTAGTAATGACAGTGTTTTTAACAAATTGAAAAATTCCTGAAATTTCAGCAGTTGGCTCTTATGAACAGATATAAGATGTCTCCAAAACACCACTGAAATTTTTTTAATTTTTTTTTATTTTTAAAGATTTTATTTTATTTATTTGACAGAGAGAGAGAGAGACAGCTAGAGAGGGAACACAAGCAGGGGGAGTGAGAGAAGGAGAAGCAGGCTCCCGGCCGAGCAGAGAGCCCGATGCGGGGCTCGATCCCAGGACCCCGGGATCATGACCTGAGCCAAAGGCAGATGCTTAATGACGGAGCCACCCAGGTGCCCCCACCACTGAAATTTTGATGTCAATGTTTATCTTTCTGCTAAAGATTGGGTGCCCTTCAGAGATGGGCTGAGTCTTAATTATCTTTTTATTCACTGTGTCTAGCATGGTGCCTGGCATTTGGTAGGCTCAATTAATGTCAAATAAATGAGTGGAGGAAAGTGAATAAACAGGCATTGGAGAGAATAGTAGGAATGGGTAGAAACAAACTTCACTGTATTGGTATTACTTCTAATTGAGAATATTATGGAAGCCTCAAATCCACACATACTCCATAAGGATGAGAGAAAAAAAAAATCACATTGCCAGGTAAGTAGCTTGGATATAATCACCAGAGATGTCTTTGCCACTTAAAGATCTATTTTCCCTTTCTGATAAAATGCTGAACTCTACTAAATAACTCCTTTAGTGATAATAATAGCAGTCATTTACGTGTACTGTGTGCCAGGCATAAGTCTCCTTATTTATTTTATCCTTGTAGCAACTATATGAAGTTACATTATAATTCCATTTTATAGATGAATACACCAAGATTTAGAGAAGCTAAGTGACTTGCTCAGGATTCCAAAACAGAATGAGTTAGAACCAGAATTTTATTCTGAATCCCTCTTATTCTAGTCTTTTTTTTTTTTTCTCCTGAGGAGCAGAGGTGAGGGAAGTTTTACCTTCTCATTTTACAGTAACATTTGCTGCTTTAATGAACTTCTTAGTTACAGACATGTATATTTTATTTCTAAAGCACAAACAGGCTTTTGTTTTAACATACTCTGATATGGTTCACCCCGGTGGTACAGTCAGTTGGGTGTCGGACTCTTGGTTTCGGGTCAGGTTGCGATCTTAAGAGTCGTGATCTCAGGGTCGTGATCTCAGGGTCCTGAGATCGGGCCCTGTGTTGGGCTCCACACTTGGCGGCATGGACTCTACTTGGGTTTTTCTCTCCCTCTCCCTCTACCCTTCCCCCTACATGCTCTCTCTCTCTCTCTCTCAAATAAATATGATTTCACTCATATGTGGAACATAAGGAATAGTGCGGAGGACCACAGGGGAAGGGAGGGAAAACTGAATGGGAAGAAATCAGAGAGGGAGACAAACCATGAAAGACTCTGGACTCTGGGAAACAAACTGAAGGTTACAGAAGGGAGGGGATGGGGGGATGGAGAAACAGGGTGATGGGCATTAAATAGGGGCACATGTGGTGATGAGCACTGGGTGTTATATGCAACTAATGAATCACTGAACACATCAAAAACTAATGAGGTATTAGATGTTGGCTAATTGAACATAATAAAAAAAATCAAATAAATAAATCTTAAAAAAAAATACTCTAATGCACCTCCTCTAGGCAGAACTTTTCTTTAATGATGTCAAACCTAGCAATGACCTCACATTATTGAATATTACGATAGTTCACCAGTTCATCAGTTACTTTCTATTTATTGATTATCTGATAACATGAACCCTTTCCACTCAGTAAACCAAAAAGTAATCCTAATCCTCAATCATGCTAAGAAATAAAATCTGTTGCTTCCAATAAGAAGTCTTCTTAAGGCTTTTGTTTATTTACAGTCTGGGTTTTGTAGGCTTGGTTATTAAAGCCTGCTCACATGTTGAATTTGCTAATGTTTCTCACCAAAAAATAGGAAATAAATCAGTTAATAATATTCACAAAAATTCAGGAAAATAATCTTTAGCGATATGGCAAAAGAGGTGATTTAGCTACTCCTTAAGAAAGCAGATGAATTATATAATTGGATACCAAAATAGAGCCATAGATCAGAGAGGTAAAATGTGGATACTTTTCAACAGTTGGATGAAAAAAGAGGCCTTACCCAGGGTTTTGAAGAAATAGCTGATTAATCTGTCAAAATAGTAATTTTTCCTAAATATTGTAAACATGACTGCCTGCTGAGTTAAGAATACAAGGCTAAAATTAGATGAGGAATATGGCTGGATCTTCCAAGTAAAGCAATCGTCATAATAACAATAGAATATCTATTGTACCTTTGTTTATACAATGCCACACAATGGGTTTGCCTCCAACAGCATGTGAAATAGTATCATACCTGTAGTGACTAGTAAATTGCCTTGCTTGAAGTAGCTGTTCTATAAATGTCTTATATTGAATGAATGAGTTGCAACTGGATGTAGTTTATATTTATATAAATGTCATATTTATATTAAAGGATCTTATATTAAGTGAGGATCTTATATTAAAATGCAGAACAAAATGCCATGGCTTAAACAGAATTGCAGTATGGCACACTTCATTACTATATTTATTATTTTATTATTTATGACATGCTCATGAAGTTTGTTCAGAAATTAACCATGGGTTTTTTATGCTGTATAATACGACACAATAAGCACACTTTATTCTTTGTCACTGAATGCAGCTATAAATCCTGGAGAGAATGCATTGAGCAGCTATCTGAGAACTATGAAGAGCAAACAGCAAAGCTATTGGAGAAGATAAGAATTTGAAGTATAACCAAGCTGGCAGTGAGTTTACCTTTTTGTTTTCTGCAGTAACCCCAGGCCTAGACTCAACTCATCTTGAAATTTGGAAGTGGGCATCAACATGGATAGAGGGAGCTCAAAAGGAAACCCTCTAGTTTAGGGGTATCGTATCAGCAGTAGTGTCACAGTGGGGGACCCACAACTTTACAACTCTGAGGGATGAAACCTTCCTGTGTCAGAATCTGTGGTCCCATGTGGGTTGGGCAAACCCATTTCCTTTTCCTTTGTCCTCCTGTTCCTTGACCCAGGATGAGGGTGCAGTAATGTAAGGTACACAAGAGAGAAGGACAACCAAATCTCCAGCTTTCTGGCCAGAAAGTACTGGGAATATCAATGAAAAGAGAGAAATTTGGAGAGATGACCACTAAAGTTGTTTATAAACTCTGGGCTTACTCCTGAGCTTTATATACATGGATCTGATCCTAAACGTTATACTAAAAGCTCTGGGAACTGAAATAAGACATAGACTACCACCAATCTTAGACTGGCAACTGGGTGTAGCAAACACAGGACAGATATAAATAGCATTTCAAAGGCTTTGAAAATGGAACTGACACTAAAACCACAACCCTCAAAAGCTAGTTAGAATTTGTGGCCTGAATCCAAGTGAGTCAACTGCCTTCTAAACCAAATGCCAACATTCTCCTAAGGATTTAACCAAGACCCAGACTATCACAACATAGCAAAGTCTTCAGAACATGATCCAAAATTTGTCAGCATAGGAAGAACCAGGAAAATCTTAATAGGAGACACCAATACCCAGTTGGTATAGAAGCCAGATTATCTGACAAGGACTTTATAGCAGCTATTATGAAAAATGATACAAGAAGTAAGGGCAAACACTCTTGAAATGAATATAAAGATAGATGTTATCAGCAAAGCAAAGGAAAATAAAAACAAGGACCAAATAGAAATTTTGGAACTAAAAATTAAAGTATTGAAAATAACAAAACTCACTGGATGGGTTCAATAGCAGAATAGAGATGAAAAAAGAATGGAAGATAGATGATTAGAAATTATCCATTCCGAATATAAAGAGAAAATATACTGAAAAGTAAATGGAAAAAATCCCAGGGACTTGTGAAACAATATGAAAAGTTTTCTGGAGTACCAGAAGAAGAAGAAAAAAGTCAGGTAAGAAAAAGAAAATTTAAAAAATAATGGCTTAAACTTCTCAAGTTTGGTAAAAAATGTAAACCTATGGTTTTAATAAGCTCATTAACCCCAAACATGATAAACATAAAGAAATTTAGGTCCAGACATATCATAATCAAACTGTTGAAAACTATAGAAAAATTTCTTGAAATCAACTGGAGAAGGAAGATGTATTATATATAACAGAACAATAATTTGAATGATTGTGGATATCTCTCTAAAACAATGGTGGTCAGAACAAAATGCAACATTTAAAAAATGCTAAAAAGAATTGTCAACCGGGCGCCTGGGTGGCTCAGACGGTTAAGCGTCTGCCTTTGGCTCAGGTCATGATCCCAGGGTCCTGGGATCAAGTCCCGCATCGGGCTCCCTGCTCCTTGGGAGCCTGCTTCTCTCTCTCTCTCTCTGTCTCTCATGAATAAATAAATAAAATAAAATCTTTAAAAAAAAAAAAAAAGGAATTGTCAACCTAGCAATCTTACCCAGTGAAAATACCTTCCAAGAATAAAGCTGAAATAAATACATTCTAATATGGAGGAAACTAGGGGAATTCATTGTCTGAAGACCAGTTCTAAAATAATTGAGAAGAAAATATTCACAAAGAAGGGGAATTTTTTGGAAGCAGTCTTAAAACATTTGAAATAAAGTAAAAGGAATGGAAATGTTAACTATCTAGGTGAATATAATAGACTATATTTCTCTTCAGTTCTTTAAATATTTTTCACACTTGAAAGAAAAAATCATAACATTTTCTGAAGGTGTTTTTAATGTATGTAGATGTAATATATAAACCAATGTAATATAAAGAAGGGAAGGTAAAGGGACATCTGAGTTGGTAAGTTTTCTGCCTTCCACTTGGAGTAATAAAAAGTTAATTCTAAGTAGACTGTTAAAAGTTAAGAATGTGTATTATAACCCCTAGAACAATTACTAAAAAACTCATGAAAGATATATAGTCCAAAAACAATAGATACATTAAAATGGAATACTAGATGAGGGGGAAGAGATCTAATAGTCCAAAGAAACAGGGAAGGGGAAGGAAACAGATAAAATGAAAAAGAAGGAAGAAACAGAAAAAAAATGGGTAATCTGAACCCACACATATAACTACAATCAATGTAAATGGTTTACACACCCCAAATAAAAGACAGAGATTGTCAGAGTGGATTAAAAAAAATGACCCAACTATAATAGTTGATTTTATGTGTCAACTTGACTGGCCCATAAGGTATTCAGATACTTGATCAAACATTATTTTGGATGTGTACATGACAGTGTTTTTGGATGAGAATAACATCAGAATGTAGACTGGATAATGCAGATTGCTCTCTCTAATGTGGGTGTGCTTCTCCCATTCAGTTAAAGGCCTGAATAGAAGAAAAAGGCTGATCCTCCCAAGAAGAAGAAACTCTACCGGACTATGTAATCATAAGGTTACTAATCAGTTGACCTTACATTAAGGAGATTACCCTAGTGGAACTAATTTAATCATATGATCCCTTTTAAAAAGTTCTAGGTATCTAAAGCCCGTTTGACTGGGACCCACTGTCATATAGTGATTCTTAAGCACAAGGAATCTGGTCTAAAGTTTCTAAGGCTGCTCTTTGTGACTGGCTCATTTACATGGAATAATTTCATTACCTGAAGAGTAATATTTTATCTAATTAATCATCTCGACCAGAGTAGATTATCATTGTATACTTGCTGAATTAATGAACGAATGAGTTATACATCTGTATAATCCCCTTTCCCATGTAAAGGTTTTTATTTTTGTTTTTAATTTAGGAGACATTATGGTACCAGTAGTGAAAAATCTTGGAACCCTCATCAAATATAGCAGGTGAGCTCTGTCCCATCCTTGTGTAACTGCAAGTTCTTGGTAGTTTCTAATGAGCAAATCTGGCACAATTTTTCACATCCTGCTCTCTCCTTTTAGGCTAGCTCTCATCTTGAATCCTGATTCTCCTTGTAGCATCATTCACATGCACCTGAATATGCAGTTAAGAGTGCTCAGTGGATCCATCTGTGAATCATCATTTTGTATTCTGTACTCACATCACGAATCAACTGCAGATTTGAAATAACTAGGATAATGTTTAAAACACTCTTTGCAAACTCATTCAGCCTTGAATTTATGTACTCACCATTGTACTTTCTACAGGCACTTAAAATTAATCATTCACTCATGTATACACACTGGGAAATAGCAAGTCTGAGCCAGAAGAAAGCCATACACAGTTTAGGCAATGAGTTTCAAATGGTGGCCAATCAAGGACAAAGGTTTTTTCTAGAGGTGCTGGAAGAGGCTTTGAGTTCTACTATTCAAGGGAAGACCTTCAACAGCACTTGCTAAGAGAGGCCAAATATGATCTGTGTCGAGCACACATTCTCACTCTCAGGAGAGGCATCTGTTTGACAGCAGAGAATCTGGCTGCCAGGTAATGACCAGTCTGTATTCACTACACACACAAAACAGCCTGGATAATTTCCATTCCTGCCAGGTCGAGATTTTTACAGTGGCCAGCCTCTAATGCTCCTGGCTCCAGAAAAGTGCCTGAAGTCTATTCCTTATCTGAGGTCAGGTCATCCCAGAAGGAAAACCTGAGCCAAGATTTCAAGTGCAAGTTATTTATTAAGGCAGTGTTCCCAAGAGAAACTGTTAATGGAGTTCAGAATAGGGAGGAAGAAGAACCAAAAAAGGTGGCAGGGGGGGGAGGGCACTATTAGGTGAAATTCCAGGCTCAGCCAGATTCCAGAAAAAGCTGTGGAGCTTAAATAGCAAGTCAGTTTGTCGTGTCTCTATGCAAAGGACTGGGTTTTGTATCTTTTTACCAGACAGTCCTTGAGTCACCCTAGGGAGACATAAACTCCCAGGCATTTCCACCTAGCTCCCCACAAGAGCAAAGTAGCTCCAGTAACCTCAGTGCAATCCTTTGAGAGATGTTAGAACAAAACATACAGAAGTGGAGCATACATCATGGTTAAAGGAGACTGAGTGATCTAGCCAGGGTACCAAGTGAGGACCATCATATATCTTACTTCTGTAGGTGTCTGGGCAAGTGCTCATCTATGTCCTACAGTCTGTCTCCCACCTCTGTGACTCTCCTCCTAGCTGTTTCTCAGAGAATCACCCTATTGCTTGTGTGGACTTTTAGGGAGGGAAGTGGGAAAGATTTCATGGATTAAAACATTAACCAGTGCTGCAAGTTATCATAACCAATATAAATAAAAACAGATACAAAGGAATTTTCGCTCCAAGAACAAGTTCTTCACACAAACATTATGCTCATTAATGAACTGTTCTGGGTGTTTTCTAAAGATCCCTGGAGACAGTGTGGTATGGTACAAAAAAGAGCATAGGCTTCAGAATCACAAAGACAGAGTAGGCACCCATGACCTCCGTCCCGGTGTTATTCTCTGGCAATTATGTTACATGGCAAAAGGGATTTTGCAGATACAAACAAGATCACTAATGAGGTGATCTCAAAATGGGGAGATTATTCTGGTGGGCTAAATCTACTGGGGTGATGCCTCCCTGAGCCTTCAGGTAAGATCCCAGTATGACGGACATGTTGATTTCAGCCTGGTGAGACTGTAAGCAAAAAATCGCAGTTGAGCCCGCCCTAAATGACCTAAAGAACTGTGAGAGAATAGCTGAGTGTTGTTTTAAGCAGCTAAATCTGTGATAATCTGCAATGCAGTACAATAATAATACATTATGTTCAAATTCTAACATTATTACTGCCAAAGTGCTGTAGTTGTGTATTAGTTTTCCCCAGGCTGCTGCAACAAAGTACCACATGTGTGGTGACTTAAAAGCAACAGAAATTTAATTTCTCACAGGTTCAGAATCCTGCAGTCCGAAATCAGAATCACAGAGCCAAAATCAAGATGTCAGTAAGACTGTGCTCCCTCTGGGGACTCTAGGAGAATCCATCCCTTACCTCTTACATCTTCTCGTGGCTGTTGGTATTTCCTGGCTCCTGGCTGTAATCTCTGCCTCTCTCTTCACAATGCCTCCTTTTCCTTCTTCTCTCCATTCCCCAACTCCTGTGCACGCGCGTGTGTGTGTGTGTGTAAACTCTCCTTCCACTTTTATAAGACTACATGTCACTGTGCTTAGGGACATTCCAGATAATCCAGAGTAATGTTCCCATTTCAAGATCCATAACTTAATCACATCACATCTGCAAAGATTCTTTTCTATTGCAATATAAGGTAACATTCATAGATTCCAGAGATTACTCATGGTATCTTTTGAGGGGCCATTTTTCAGTCTGCCACACATTATGAGCAGTCATTCAACATCTCTGTGGATTTTGGTTTCCTCATTGAAAAAATGGGACGAAACAGGACTATCTCAAAGGGTTAGTATTACAAGTAGTAAAATAATGTGCCTAAAACACCTACCATAATGCCTAGGATGGGGCTGACACTCAATAAGGGACAATTATTACTGTTAACAGAAAAGCCATGATCAATGTGGACACAGGTATTTGAAAAACCAAGATGAAAAAAAAATTAGAATCTTCTAACAAAGATATAAGCTCATCTTTCTTTAATCCATTTGATGCTAGAAATTGTCCATTTATCAGCTGTGTGTCTGTTTTAGAAAATTGTCAAATGACTGCTGTCTTACTACCATTATAATTCAATTGGATTTCACTTTAACTCTGCAAATGTTCACTCATTCTGGTATGTGCAAGGAACTCTGCTGTTCACCAGGACATGCATATCTAAGCAGGACACAATCTGTGATGTAGTCAGCCTTACGATCCAGCAGGAAAATAAGAGTTTTCCACAAATACTTGCTTCGTAGAACACATACCATGTCCCAAATAAATTAAATATTAACTTTGTTATTCCCCTTTTATGAGGTTTGCATCCAAACTTCAAAACAAATACCATGAACAAGAAAAAAAAAAAGTACATCAGATAGAATTGTTAGATTCATAGTCAGTGAAATGACAACACAACTTAGTACTCCTAAACTGTGAATTTTCTATTACTTTACAAGTACACATTGTTCTAAGAAATATTTGAAAATAATTACAGTCATAGGTTTCATTAACCAGCTGTCTAAGTCAAGCCTGCATACCCCTGTGTCTCACAGTGGAGTTGCCTTGAGCTAACTGGAACTCACAGAGAAACAACTGGCTCCTGGACCCTCACTGAGTCCCTGGGAATGTTTTGTGAAAATTCAGGCATCCACCATAACATGAATGACTCTGAAATAATTTTTTTGCTTTAAATATTTTTGTCATAAAACTATACTTGTGGTATTGCTGTCTATGTTGGCAGTAGTGTTTGAAGTCAACAGAATTTCCTATAAAACAAAACGAAAAGACAGTGACTCACTAATCTGTTTAAAGCAGACAAAACATTAGATAAAGCAACACAAATTGTTCCAAGGTTTTATGTTTTCCCTTCTCTCTCTCTCTTTCATTCTTTTTTTCTTTTCCTTCTTTCTTCCTTTTTTTGCCTTTGGTTTTTGTCCATTTAGATTTTACTCCTGCAATTAAATTTGCCTCGGTAGTTTTGTGATACATAAGTTTAACTGTCACCCTCAAAATATTCCAATGCGGTCTTCTCCCTCCCATCATCATCTGGTGTTCCATAGACATAAACAGAATATAGCATATAGGGACTGGGAAAAAAGTGCAATAAAATTAAAATTTATGCAGAGATTTTGTTGTTGTAGAAATCTTTATCTTTTACAAGGGAGGCCAACTGCCAGCAAAAGCAACTGGCGAAATAGCACACAAGCTGGTAAGAGGTTGGATATTAATATTTGAACTATGATTCTTTAAATCTGGGGGGATGGGAATGCCTTATCTCCCCCATGCTAGGGTAACACCTCATGAAACAGACCTGAGTAACAGTATATTCAGTGTTCAAAAAGATTCTTCACACATTTGTGGGATCATGCAACTTTCAAGCGGAGTATTTTTGAAACGATCTTGTTAAGCAAATTATTAGATTGTTATAGTAGACTTTCAGTACTACATATATTCCTGCTTCATTTGTGACTTCTATAGAACAAGCAATCCAGAGGATATAGAAAGACAAATTTTAGAAAGAATAGCTTCTTTCTGACTTTAATTTGGACAGACTAAATTATGCTTTCCTTCTTGAAAAATAAAATAAGAAGCCAGGAGCATTTTTTTATTGTTTATTTTTTGTTGCTATTCCCTGTCTAGACACAAATTCAGGATACCAGATGAGCATCTAAGATCTGACAAAGTCGCAATTTGGTGGCCTTAAGCATGTCTGTGTATAGTGTCATTACAAAAGTTCCCTGCACATTTTGCTCACTACTACAGCTACAACTAGTTTATGGTTTAATGACGATAAAAGAAGAGCTTGTCCTGGGTGAGGAACAAACAAAGAACCATAAAAGAAGTGATCCTCATTAAAGGGCCACCTCACAGATTTCAGGCTCCTTTCCTTTGCCCTACCTTTTGTACCTAGCCCCACCTGTAAGGATGCCAGGTAAGGCCAGGACTGAAAAAGTGTGATTAGAGATGTCCAAATTCATTTTGCAAAATATTTTTCTTCATCAGTAGGTGTTTTATTTTCCCAAAGGGGTAAAAAGTCATTCACTTTGTTTCTCATTTATTTGAATAGAATCACTTGATGGAATAGTTAAGCAGTGCCTCTTTGCTAGTCAATATCATAATAAAATAGGATTCCATTTTAAATAAGCCATAATTTTGCCACCCTCCCAGAGGTGAGCAACAATAGAAGCGTGGGTATCATACATCTGAAAAATGCAAAGGATCAGCTTTCACTGACTCTAATCAGAAATTAAAATTTGCTCCTATAGGCGAGAGCCTATGAACTTCACTGACCTGCATCTAGATGGGGCAGACTTCTAAAACTTTCAGGATGGGAGGAAATCACCCACACACATTTCAGAAAATATTATGGTTTCCCTTCTAATCTAAGAAGTAAGCAGAGCTCTGGGTTTTGACAGATTCACCGCTGCAATGTGTTGGGAAAGAAGAATAGAAAAAAGGATGGGACTGATCCCTATCTCACTGCCTAATTTTGCCAAAAGGAAAACAGACTCGGTGCCATTGGTATGGCACTTCTCTAGAAAGGACTTCTCCTTGTCCTTTCTAAAACAGTGGTGTCTGAAAGCATGTTCTGTAGTCATAAAATTTCCCAGGTCAGTTTACAAAGAAAAAGGGATCTTCCAACCATAGTTTTGGATATGGGTACTTGCTGCAGCAATGAATTTGAGAAGGTGACAGGTTACCTAATAGGTTTGCAGTTATGATTGCACCTGGCCCTGGAAGGCTGCCATGCCATGAAAAGAGAATATCCGCTCACCTGCACTGGTGAACAACAGGCCAGTGCCGCCTTTGCACACTTGATAAGCTGCTCTTGTTATTAGGGACACTGAGTCAGCTGTTCCAGCCGTATGTGCTTTTGTGTGCTCTTACTTGCTCACCATATATAATGATTTCCTCAGACATGCAAGAATACTTGGACTTTGCTTTTATTTAGAAACTGTTTTTATACATGAGTGATTGCTGACTATTCAATTATAGCTGAATTTGAAATGGTTGGGATCCATTTCTAATTGATTTCAGTGAAAATCAATAGAGTTTCTAATCAAGCAAATAGAGCTGTATGAAGTTCAGTGCTGAATGACTAGTTAAACCTCTACCATTTTTACTCATGTCTAAATCAATAAGTAGTATTTCATTTCATTTTTAACTGGATCTTTTCGTGTCTTGAACTGAGGCATTTATAGCAGTTTGCTGACATTCGAATGATGTGTATTATTTGTAAACCTGTACATTCCAGGCCAGATAGAAGCACTTAAAATGCAAAAAATATGAACAGAAGTATACAGGAAGATTATTAAATCTAAGGAACATTTTTTTAGGAGAGGTGAACAAAACCAGGAACTATGTGACATGAGGTGTTCAGACTGCCAGTTTATGGTAAACAAAGGAAGTTTGGTGGTGGTGGTGTTTTTGTTTTTTTTTTTTTTCTTAAATTCATAATATCATGATTACAGAGCATCACTGCAAAGAGGGTTAGGCTTCAGAAGATAACCAGACAAACCAGTTCTTAAGAGGGTGGCTGATTGGCTGCTTTGCTAAAGATAAATTTTTCCTCTTCCAAATATTCTGAAAAAAAAAAAGTAGACTAATAGCGAGAAGTGTAGTGATTTGCACATTATCCAAGCCATTGAGTTATTCCTGCCTGTCCTCATTCTGGTTCTTGATTTGCAGGCCAGCTATGCTCTGCAGCTGGAGCAAATTATATCAGAGAAGTGCTGATGTGACCACAAGTTGACAAAAGGACATGATTTCTAGTAGCAAAAAAGCAACTAGATTTTATGAAATTGTATCTAATAATGTTGTTTAACTCATGGATCCTGCATCTGACGCCTGCTTTTTATCCAGTCCTTTCAGCGGCCCTTTGTTAACAGTCACTCAGAAGAGGAAATAAAATGTAGCCATTGAAATAAAAATTGCTCTACTCTTTTTAATAGCTCAGCTGCAGGCTCTATTGTTTTATTTAATGGATTGTGTAACTGAAGTCTCTCCTCCTGATGATTCCCATTTGGCTTCTGAGTCCCCAAACTCTGTCAGAATCTTGGGGGTTCCAGAAAGGAGGGGAGTCTGGTGTTTTGCTTTTTCAGAATACAAGTGGATAGTAAAAGTACTAAGATTCTTTAAAATGTGATTCCCACTATGGACTTTACAGTACTCTGTGCAAGAAACAGAGCTTTTGCATCAAAAGTAAGCAAGATTAGACTGTCCCTAGATTCAAAAATTCTAGTTCACAACAGAGAAGTTTGCTTGGCTTAAGTACATGGGGGCAAGGAGGGCTGGAGGCAGTGGCAAAGGGATAAAAAGGAAATAGAAGGACTGGAATAAATAATTATCTTCATTCTTGTCAAAATCACTGTTGTCCTCTAATTGATAGATATGTTCTCCGCCCTAGATTCCCTGCAATGGGTCCCTCTATCCTCCTGCCTGACTACCCATGGCCAATGTGCAAAGTATACCTACAAGTCATCTGACTTACTGTCATTCTAAAGAGTGTCACATGAATATTATATTTTAAATTTTAAAATGTTTTTTGGTTCTTCAGAGCAGTTACAATGTGTCTGGATTCTGCTGGAAGGATTACAGGTGACTTTAAAAATATGTATTTTGCTTCTGCTTTTTAAAGATAAATTGCATTATGGGTATGTTCAAAAGATCAAAGTTAAAGGAAAGTGCCTCCTACACAAGAAAGGTGGTACAAAATACCAGGAGAAAGGATCGACCCCTCTGTTCCATACTACTTATAAACATCTTAAACATGAATGAATTGCAGACTATTTACCTGACTAAAATAAACTGTTAGGCTATGGTTCTTGGAGAATTCTGCAGAAAGCTTTTATCATTTATTTTTGTCCTGCCTTGATATGTTCCTTCAAAGCAGGTTCATTGTTTTAGGAAGTGGAGGAGAAAGATTTGTTAAATCATGAAGTGCTGAGAAGCCTTTCAGCTGAGGAAGACACACAATGTACAAAGCAGTTAAAACAAATCATACAGTATAACCTGTTAAGGATGTAATTGAGATACATGTAATCATTAACCTTGGAACAGACTGGGAATCCATTAATGAATCAAATCAATACCCTCTCCACTGATCCATAATAATTTCAAAGAAATGAAAAATTTAACAGTTACTGTATGTGAGGTTATCGTGGGCTGCAATTAGCTAGCCTCCAGGAGATTATGTTACCTGGTTACCAGAAGGTAGGTACAATTTCTGTAGATGTTCTGGAAAGATTGTCATAAAGACAGGTGTCAGACTTGGAAATGGGTCAGGAAAAGATATTTGGTATGGCCAAAACCTGGGTCATCTTTCTGTTACTTCATTCCATACGTCCTTCTTATAACATTTCCTACTTCCAGTTAATATAGATGTACTGCTTTGAAAAGACATTACGGTTGAATTTTGTCAGTAAAAAAAAAAAAGTTATTAGCTCTTTTTATATCTTACTACCCATCTAGATTTCACATGAGATGGCAAAGAGGTCAAGGCAAAAATTCTACATTTGGTAACAGAATAAACACATGAACTTTCTGCTGCAGGCAAGATACTTGTGTATGAAAATATTTCATGTTTGTACAACTCCCTCATCTTAACATTCCCAGCATGGTCATTATTGCCAGTGTAATCTTATAGAAGGATAGTGGAAAGAAATGAATGTCTTTTCTCCTCTGAATCCCCACATTTTTACGCCCCCATTTTACAAGTAGTATGCGGCACCCTACAAAATAGCGTGGAGAGAACAAAATGATCCCAGGACCCATGGCTTCTACATACATTGCTTTTCTGTAAATCTTAGAAGCAACAATCTCAGTATGTGAACCTCCATAGGCAAATCTCCATTTGGGGGAGATATAAAAAGAGATATTGCCATTCTCTAGGGAATCAGTAAATAAAACGGAGAACAGAATTTTAAAAAATGCATGGAAAATATATGCGTATGGAAATGTGAAGAGCCTTATTTTATAATGCCAAGGAGGGCACAAGATAAAAACTGTTGTCATTTGTTTCCAGGGAGAGCAGTCGGTGAGACCCAGGCACAGTAGGAGAGTTAGTTAGCTACCACATGTAAGGCTGAGAGCAGATGGTGCCGCTGATATAGAGCGCAGGAATGCGCGTGTGTATGCGGGTGCGTTTCTGTGCGTGTGCGTGTGGAAACCAGCAAGGAGTTTGACACTGATGTACTCCATCAAGTCCAGTTAGAAAGAACAAGTAGATAGAACAACATTCTGTGCATCTGGCAGCCTAACTAGCTCTGTCAATCTGTGGATACTGCTGACATTGTACTATAAGCTTCGATTCCATCTGTGTTGTTTATTTTGAGCTGGATTTACTGCACACTATGTGAATTGATGATGGCTAGAAGGTCCAAAAGATTCTGAGTCTGTTTAAAGTTCCAAGGTGTCAAATTACACAGGCTTGTGTCACGAACATTATGAAAGGGTAAGTGGAGAGGCAAACTGATTTCAGGATTTGTTAGACGTCCAAGAGAAATTGCCGAAAATATAGATGAAGAAGGTTTATGAAAACATCTAAAGAGTACATATGAACTCCTGCAATCAAATGTTTCTTTTTCAAGTTGTATTGTGTCATTTTAAAAAATTCAAAATATGTACAAACAAATAGACAAGTCAAATCAGCTCTCCACTCTGAGGTTGTGACATGCATATTATTCAAAACTTCCTGATCAGAACCATATAAATTTGCCAGAATAAAGGAACGGACTTGATGGGTTAGGGTTGCACCTGCCTTCTTTCTGAATTGTTAGAACTGAGGAAAAAGTATATTTCTATACATGTACTGTTAAGTTATTCTGTGACATTCTTTTCTTGCTTCAGTTTCTTTCCATATAATAAGATATTTATAAATCTTTCTACTATACAGTTATGAAATAGGCTTTGCTATCTTCACCAAGAAATCACTAAAGAGTTGAGAATACAGTTTTTAATGAAAATTATATACATTTATATGAGGAAAAACAGCACGGTTTGATGTATGTCATCTATATCAAGGCTTTTGTTTATTTTCATTTGCAGCATAATGTGCAGCTGAATGCTATGTCTGTATAATGCCAGAACATTCCTATGAACGTGAAGAAAAGAGATTTAATGATTCAGGTGTTATATAAGCATCTGCATATCTTATGTCATTCAATTCTTATAGCTGTTCTTGTCTGCTTGTGTGGTGAGTAGCCCGGATTAGAATTCTCCTGAACCATAAATGATACAGACTAGACTATATGCAATTTGGCTTGTAGTCATTGAATGAAAAAGCATTCTACTTATGGTATACAAATTTCAATTCATGCTTTTAATCCCCATTCAGTTAGTCGTTGGTTCTGGTTTAATTGTGTCACTGAATACAGATATATATAACTGTCTGTCCCTAAAGGGAAAAAATTTAATCATCCTGCCTCATCTGTCTCAGAGCTGACATCAAACAGAATCTATGAAAATGGTTCATTTGTTTGGTAATGTTCAATATTCATTGTTTATAAGTATTCATTTTCATAATATATGCTAGGTAACGTAAAATACACAGGTTATATACTATATGATCCCTATCCTCAAGAAACTAATTATCTAGTTGATGAGTTAAGACATTCTTATAAAAATGTCAAATAGCTATACATATATTAAATATCAGTTAAAAAACACAAGATGGCACAAAATAGACTAAAATTAAGGTGAAAAACTTCACTACGGTCTTCTATCTGCTAGGTAGCAGACTGGAGGCTTCCTCTCCATTAGGTATCTCACCTAACTCCTCAACCCTGTGAGATGTCCTTGCACTTTCCAGAGAGGACAGGGGCTGGGAAAGTGGATGTAAATTATCTGGGTCACATAGCCACTGAGTGACTGAACAAGGCTTTACTTCAGCTCACCTCCATAAACATATATTGAGCATCTGTTTTGTACCAAGCATAGTATTTGGCACTGGGATAAATAAAATTAAAAACCAGTTTGAGGAAGTGTGCAGGCTTATAAGGAATAAGATAGAAAAAGTTTAATGTGAGCATAATGTAGTAAGTGCTGAAATAGATGTACGCATATGGAACGAGGAGAACAGAGAGGGCACCTAACTTAGAAAGCTGATGAAGCGAGACACAGAAGGAAAAGGTGACAGGCTTCCCAGACAGGCACAGGCATGATCAAAGGTACATTGGTCTGAACAACAGGGAGAGTGGGAAATGGAGCTTTTGTGGCACACCCTGGTAACTCATTTAGACCACTGAGGGAAACACATTGTACATTACACATTCATAATAGCATGTAATCCCAGGAGCTGAGGTAATGAGGAAAGGTTTGAATGACATTGGCCATGACTTGTGAAGGGTGGGTAGATTCTGAATAGAGAGATAAGGAAATAACTGGATATTGTAGGGGAAAGCAAAAGAGACCAACAAATACTTGCAGATAAAGATGTGTAAAACCAATATGGCAGATGAAGGGATGCACAGGAAAATATGGTCAACTGTTCATTTTCCATTTTTGGCTATCAGTTGCCATGTAGAAACTTGAAATTTGTTATCCCTAGAATTAGTCCATCTCTAAAATTTTAAATTTCTCTCTCTGGCAACAATTTCTTAGCCTTCCAGGTTTCATTCAGTCATCTCCATTATCCAAACTGATCAAGACCTTTAATCCCTTAATTCTGAAAATTGTGTATCTTCATTAGCCCTGATCTAATTCCCAACTGATTTAGACTCCCTGGTCTACTACTTCAATCTTTTTTTTCACCTCAAAGTCCTTCCCAGATTTTCCTTCTGTATCACCATCTTTGTGGAAAAACCTCAAGCTTAAATCAATTCTTCCTTGTTCCCTAGCTCTGTTTCCCATTATTCAAGAGACAGTCATTGTCTCTATTCTCCTTTATGCTGGCCACCTTTCTACCTTCAGCTTCACAAAGAAAACAGAACCCATAATCAAGAAAATGAACATCAGCACCCACTGCTTCTAACTCTTCCATCCCAGGTGTAGAGGTGTTATTACTCATACATGAGAGGCCAATCCTTCTCCCTCTCCCCCACCCCTCACCCCACCCCACACACCCATCTTGGGCTTTTAAGGGTCATAGTACTTTGAAAATCCTGTATTTCTTCCCTTTTTCAGATTTTTATATTTTTAACTGGATCTTTCTCAAATAATATTGTTTCAATATTCTTAAGTCTCTCCAATTTTAAAAATAAACCAACATCCTCATCCTCAAGTCACTATTTAAATACTGTCCTATCTCCCCTTTTATAAGCAAACCTTTTGAAAAAGTGGCCTAGAGTCACTGTTCTACCCTTTCCTCACTTTCTAAGCATTCCTTAACCCACTGCAAGGAAACCACCCCCAAGAATTTCCTGAAACTGTTCTTGTTAAGGTCGTCAATGATGTCTTATTTCTGAATCTATTCTTACCTTATTTTACTTGTAAAACCGATATTTCTAATTCCTCCTCTTTGAACACAAGTTTTTTGGTTCAATAATACAACACTCTGCATTTTCTTTGTAGACTCCTCTTTCACTGCCATTTTCCTAAATATTATGTCTTCAGGGCTGTCTCTTAAGCCCTTGGCTCTTATCATTATATACCTTCTACTTGAGATATATTTATAATATATGTAATTATATAATATGTAATATATATGATGGTATAACTTATAGCTTTAATTGCTATCTATATGCTTATAGCTTCATTTACCACCTCCATGTGGAAGAATTGAATCCAAGGAATAAATCCTCAACTACTATCTTTTTGATAAACTTCAGTCAATCCTATATATTTAACTACTCAACTTCTCTGCTTGAATGTCCCACAACTATCTGAGAGATTACATATCCAAAACTGAATGTATAATCTCCTTCCCTCCTCCTTCCAAACTTCCTAAATATTTCTCAAATCCATGAACTTTTTTTCTAAAAACATTCTTCTCATTCAGACTAAGGTAAATTAAGTGACCTAGTCATTTAAGACATTTATTATTGAGTATGAAAGTTATAATTCAGATTGATAAAGGAGATAATTAAAATTAAATGGAGCTAACAATATACTTCTTTAAATTCTAACAGTTGAATGAATCACAGCTAAAATACTAAATTTCAAAAGCCTAAGTGATAAGAAGTACTTTAAGCAAGTTAAAGACAGAAAGCCTTTCCTTTTTATGTTCATATTCTTAGCTCTAAGCACCGTGAACCACAAAAAGAGTTGCTGGTCAATTAATACTTCCTTAATAAATTAGTAGGTTTGTTTTTCAATCCTGCAAAAAAGTAAGAAGCAGTACAGGACTGTCACCAAATCATTCACACACTGTTATGACTCTCCTATAACTTATTCTATACACTGGCTGATGAACTAAGGATGTCAAGACTTTTCCTATTTATGTCTTATGGAATTACAGATTTCCTTAAAACATAATAGTAATAAAGGAATATCAGGCATTAAACTGACTAGCCAAATTAACTTTGTATAAAAACAAAGCTCTACTCTACAGACTTAGTTTGCAAAACTGACCACTATCAGAGGGAAATTTTTTTTTTTACTAGCTCAACCCTACCTATCACCATAAATGGAAAACTAGCATTTTATACAGTTGCTAATGAAGAAAATGGATTCTCCTTTAGTCAAAACAAACTTTATCCTCTTTCTCCTCCATAAAGTTATTTCCTTACTGAGCAGTGAGTATGGACTCACCTATTGATAGAAATTGGTAAGTCCAATTCAACTTAAGTAATTCTCTAGACCTAGAGCAAACAAATTAAATTTTACTGCGGTGTCATCCTTTTATTGTGAAATATGCAGATAAAAAGGATAGTATAGGAAACATAAGTGAATAATTTAATGAATTATAATAAATCAAACATCTCTGTAACCACCACCAGGTTACAAAATAGAAGTTTCCCAACAGCCTACCCAACTGTGACGCCTTCCCTCCTACTCTGCCTGGATATTTATGGTGATATCTTCCTTGCTTTTCTTTGTAGTTTTACCACCTGAAACTGTGTCAGTAAATAATAACTCAGTCTTGCCTGTTGTGAACTTTATATAAATGGAATCCTAAGTATATATTTATTTGGTGTGACTTCTGACTTCTTTCATCCAGTGTTAGCTTTTAAGATTTCTTTGTTAGGTATATCTATCTTTCATTCATTTGAATTGCTATTAATAATCCACTGTATGAATATGCATTAATTTATTTTTCCCTTCTACTGCTGATACACATTTTGATTGTTTACAGTTTTGGGGTATTATGAATAAAGATGCTATGGCATTGGTGCATACATACAGTAATATAGCTAATCATGCCGTTTTGATGGTATATAATTAGAAGTGAACTGCTGGGTATGAAAAAAATATATATCCTTAACTTCACTAAAAAGAAAAACAATGAAGGTAAAAAAAAAAAAAAATTACCAGTTGGTTGTACCAGTTTAGCTGGTTTTATTTAAGAAAAGAGTTTCTTAAATTCTAAAGGTAAATTCCATCTAGTATTCCATATTTCACATGGAAAGAAATGCATAGTATGACAAAAATTTCAAAATAAAAGGCAAATCGGGCGCCTGGGTGGCTCAGTTGGTTAAGCGACTGCCTTCAGCTCAGGTCATGATCCCAGGGTCCTGGGATCGAGTCCCACATAGGGCTCCCTGCTCTGTGGGAAGCCTGCTTCTCCCTCTCCCACTCCCCCTGCTTGTGTTCCCTCTCTCGGTGTGTCTCTCTCTGTCAAATAAATAAATAAAATCTTTAAAAAAAAATAAAAGGCAAATCAAGTATTAATACCTAAAAGATATTTACAAATATTTGTACTTTTTTCTGATGAAAATACATGTTTTTCTCATAAAAGTGCCAAAAATGTATTAACCACTTTTATCTGAATTGTTAGTCAAGCAATAGTGTAACAGAAATAGAATACAGAATATAGAATATAATGCTTAGATTTTCATTTTATGGAATTCACATTTCTTTTGTAATATTAGAAATGCTGGAAATTTTGCCCAACATGCAATTAAACCATCACTGCATGGGCTCATACACTGTATGGGTTCTTAATATGTAGCTCCCACTTTTATATTTATAAAATCTCAAGCAGGGGAGGCAGTTTCACACTAAAAACAGCAAAATCTCTTTGACCTGGGAACTACTCTCTGGAAAAAAAAAGAAAAAAGAAAATCAAAATGCTTTATCACAAAATCCTTTTTCTTAAATTACATCAGGGTTTTTGGAACCAGTATACGAGAGATTTTTTAAGGAAGTATGTGTCATGCTAAGAGAAGTAAGTCAACCAGAGAAAGACATGTATCATATGATCTCACTGATATGGGGAATTCTTAATCTCAGGAAACAAAGTGAGGGTT